TGTATATACTGCCCTTCTACCTGACAATGTAATTCTATCTATCTATCTATCTATCTATCTATCTATCTATCTATCTATCTATCTATCTATCTATCTATCATCTATCTATCATCTATGCTATAGATCAGGGGTATCAAACCTAATAGCATCGTGGGCCACATCATGACATATCAGGATTTTTTACCTTTGCGGAGACACGGTGGGTGTGGCCTGTGTGGGCCGTATCCTGCTCACAGGCTGCCAGTTTGAAAAGCCTGCTGTAGACTATACTAACTAAAGTATGTAACAGGCTATTTTCATGTTCTTAATGTAGTCGCATAACCACTGATTAATATTATGCTTAGATTTAGCTTTCTTGTCCAAACCAGTCAATCATTTTAACAATTCAGTATCATCATAGTTTGTTTCTTGCTCAACTGATTGAGAGAAGCTTTCCTATGTCAGAGAACATTCTGTAATTGTGTGTCATAGGTAAGTCTCAGATTCATACAGTGTTAATAGATGTATTGTGCAAGCATGTCATTAAGTAATTCTAAGGTGATACTTATCTTTATTAGGGATGGAGAATTGTGGTGATTCCTAGTCATGAGCAAGCTAGTGAGATTAAAGAGAGACCTATTATTTTTGAAAGGATAGATGTATAAGGTACCTTTTACAGCATGTGTTGCTTTTTCACTCATATTTGTAACTCAGGATTGAGATGAGTGGTCCTTGGTGCTCTGAGCTTGATTGTATTTATTTTATTTTTATTTATTTATATCCTGGCTTTATTGTTTTAACAAATAACTCAAGGCAGTGAACATATAGAAGACACCTTGTTCCTCCTATTTTCCCCACAACAACAATCCTATGAGGAGAGTTGAGCTGAGAATGATGTTTCAAGATCACCCAACTGGCTTTTATGGCTAAGATAGAACTCATGATCTCCCAGTTTGTAGCCTGTGCCTTAATCACCAACCTGAATTTTTATTTATGCAAGGGCCCAAATAGATAACATCATCTGTGCACTGATATGCTATATCAATGATAGCACTGCATAAATACAACCAAGCTCAGAATGGACCAAGGATCCATCATTTCAACTCCGAGCTACAAATATTTTCCTTTATCGGTACAACTGTTATCTTTTAGCTATCCCCTATTTCATTTTCCAGAAAATCTGTACTTAATATTTCTACTTCTTTTCTCTTCATACATTTTTCTTTTATGTTTGCCTATCCTTTTATCAGCTATACCATAACTCTGTCAGAATTTATTTCTCTGTTAATTTTCATTTTCTTTATTATGCACATTCTGTATGCCACCATATGTTAACTTTTCATGAGGTGCTCAGCTTGGTTTTCTATGTTGGTATCTTTCTTTTATTTCTATTAAACAATATATGAATTGAACTTAGAACTTTGCTCCTTGCTAGAAATGTAAGATATAAACCATTATAGTTCATAGTTCTTGTACCAGTTAGATCTGTATTCTGATATAAACTTGTACATGGTAATTCATTAATGAAAACACGGTTATTTTTTGTCAACTGTTTAATTTAATCAGAGGTCTACAGGTTTTATAGTCTTTTAAAACTCATGGTTTCCAACACCATGTCATTCCACTTATCACTGGTATCACATTTTGACCCAATATAAGTTTAGTGAACTCTCTTTGCTTCCTTTTTTAGCACCAATGGAATAGTAGGGATTGTTGTTGATTGAATGCTGCGTGGCCTAAGAAGTCATTGTCAACTTTTGTTGTCCCACAACAAGTAGCACGTTTACTTGGCTATAAACCTGAGAATTTGGAGCAAAGCTGCATATATTTATTGGATTTTTGAAGTATCCTTAGGCAAAATCAAAAGTATTCCATATCTGAAGCTTCCCTCTACTTGGCTCTATTGTATACTAAGGTGTCCAGAAGAACATGATATCATAGCAGTCGAACTAATGAAGTGTTTCTTTTCCTGTCCTGTTTTATACCACCAAAGTTGGCAGGAAAGCAGTAGTTTGTCTTGCTTAGCAGAGAGAGATTGCGCAACAATAACAATGGTAAATAGCAATAGCAATAGCAATAGCAGTAGACTTATATACCGCTTCATAGGCCTTTCAGGCCTCTCTAAGCGGTTTACAGAGAGTCAGCATATTGCCCCCAACAATCTGGGTCCTCATTTTACCCACCTCTGAAGGATGGAAGGCTGAGTCAACCCTGAGCCGGTGAGATTTGAACCGCTGACCTGCTGATCTAGCAGTAGCCTGCAGTGCTGCTTTTAACCACTGCGCCACCTTGGCTCTTGAAAAAATATAAAAAATATGAGAAGATTAAAATATTTCCAAATACAAACTGATAAACGCCTTGACCCAGGACACAGCAGATTTATGTAACTGTGATTAAAAAAGAAGTGTGGATAACTGATATGGGAATATCAGGAGACAGTATAGTAGGAGACAAAGAATTGGAGACAATCACAAAGTATCAAGATTTGAAAATCAAAATTAAAAGATTATGGCATATACAGGGTCTGATGGTTCCCATCGTTAGCAGGACACTAGCTGCCATGCCAAAAAATCATGGATGGCACTTAGAAAATATTCACATTAGCAACATTTCCATCTGTCAATTACAAAGACAGCTTGGATCTGCACATGTACTACGCAGATACATTGAGATAGCCTAGAAGGTTCTTGGGAAGAATCTGATGCCTATGAAGGCTAACACAGCTAAAAGCCTGGTAGTTGTGGTTTCATAGTTTTATGTATATAATCATTTATTAAACCTATATGCTGCCTGACTCTCACTGACTTTGGCTGCTCACAGCAATCAAATTATAATAAAAATCAGGAAACATAAAAAATAAAAATAAAAAATGCCAAGTGCAAATAAGTGTGGGGTCTCACTTTTCCTTGCTGAAGGTCCAATTGAAAGTCCAGATATACATGATTCACCAACACCAGCAGAGTGAGGCCCATCCAGATCTCAAGGGCAGATACTACTACAGAGCAGGTACATTCTGGGATCCTGAAAGATCATATTGTTTAATCCAAGGAATCCAGAGCATGCCAGTCCTTCAGGATCGAATTGAACAGGCAAACGTTATAGGAAACATATGGGACCTTAGGAAACCAGGCCTATACAATTTAGGGCTTTATAGCTAATAACCAGAACTCTGACTTACACCCAGAAGCAAACTGGCAAGTAGTGCTGCATGTGAAGCAGTGGTCCCTCCCTCTCTCAACATATCCATTGATGTATTAATTTCCTTCTGGTGCCCCCTAGTGAACATATTTTCAGATTTTTTTTATTAGAGTTGTAAATAAAGAAAGCTGCTCACAGGAAGGATTCTTATAATCAATTTCAAAGTGTTAATTCAAGTCCATATATACATTTAATACATTTAAAACTTTCTAAGATCAACATTTTAATTACTCTTTTGTGTATAATCCATTTTTAAAAAAATTGTACCAAACTCATACTTAAGATTATTTCTTAAAGGACTGAAGAAAAAAAAATCACCCGGCGAACATAATAAAACTTGCAGAGTTTCAATCTTTAAAAAACAATAAAAGAGTAAAAGTGAGGTTCAATCAAACTCTGCGTCCCTAAAGCCTACATTGATGGCTATGAGCTCAGCAATCTCTTGCAAATCTCACCTGCTTGGAAACTGATTGCAAATAACTCATAAAAACCAGCTGTCCAGAGCACTTACGGACAATCTCAGAATCTCATCTTTTTCCGGAAAATTTTTGGCAGTTCAGATACACACTCCAGTTGCCATTTTCAGTTATAATATCTTCCAGTTTTCAGACATCAGTTCATCATTTCCTCACTGGAAATCAAACTATAATGCAGTTTTAGATTAGTAAAGTTTGTTTGTTTATAATTTGGAAGTAAGCATTAGCATGGCTTTATTACATAAATGAAAAATAAAAAGGTTACATTACATTTTAGCAGACAAATTGAAGAGAGTTGTGTAACAGGATAAACCCCTCCTTCTTGTTAATGTAAACATGCATGCTTTCTTAGCTCTACATTACATGATTCCTTAATTAAAGTAAGTGTTTTTCTAGATTTAAGTGTGATTATGAAGCACTTATCACTTGTGGTTGGCATTAATTAGAATTTAAAGCTATGCTTTGTAATTATCTGCATATTGTGGCAATTCAGCAGAAGATGCAACATCTAGCAACATAATTTATAAGACGTCCTTCTGAAGAGCCTCCATTATAGTGCCATTGGCATAGTATTTATGCATATGGCACAGTACATATGGTAAGGTCCTATAGAAGTGATGGCAAACCTTTTTTGACTTGCATGCCAAAAGCAGGGAGAGTGCAGGGGGGTCGTGCGTGGGCGTGCCACACCCATAATTCTATGCAAACAACCCCAGCATGCATGCATGCACGGCCAGCGCTCCCCCCCATTTGTGGCGTGCTTTTTCGCCCTCCCCAGGCTCCTGAGGCTTTAATAGAGCCTGGGGAGGGCGAAAACAGACTCCCCTGCCCCTGGACGCCCTCCGGAGGCTTTAGAAGCTTCCCTGAAGCCTCTGGAGCATGAAAAACTGGCCCTAATGGCAAACTGGAAGTTCAGGAATGGACTTCCAGTTTTCTCGTAGGGCTGGTATTTAGCCCTATGGAGCCTTTCTCCAGAGGACAAAATATGACCCTATGAGCAAACAGGAAGGGACTTCCGGTTTTCTTGTAGGGTCATTTTTTGTCTTCCGGAGTCTTCAGGGAAGCCTCCTGAAAACCAGCCCTACGAGCAAACCGGAAGTATATTCCCGAACTTCCAGTTTGCCATTAGGACCGTTTTTTCACACTCCGGAAGCTTCAAGGAAGCCTCCGAAGGGCAAAAAATGACCTCAAAAGAAGGCCGAAGTCAACTGCCCTGACAAATGGCTCCCTGTGCCATTTGTGCCATAGGTTTGCCATCATGGCCCTATAGGAAGCCAAAGTATAGATTCACAGCTTCATATATAAGTAGTTGTTATCTTACAACTGGTCACTTAACAACCATTCAAAATTATGATAGAGTCCCCAAAAGCTATTTATGATCCGATTTCAAAGTTATGGTCGCTGCAGCAGCCAGCAGTTATTTGCCCTTACGACCAACCACAGGGATACTGCAGCAATCTCTCTCTCTTACACACAGACAGACAGACAGACACACAAACACACACACACCCTTAGAGTTGCCATGCAACTTGCTGGGACTTTTGTAATTTATTCTTCTAGTTCAGAGGTGTCAAACTGGTGGCCGTGGGTCGGATGCATGTTGCACAGACCATGCCCACTCTAGATTCGTAAATGGAAAAAACATCGCAAAATATTACATGATGGCAACATGACATGGTGAGTTTGACCCCCTTGTTCTAGTTTGTGGCTTTGCTCTTTAAGCTGTTAGCAAAACCTCCACTTGAGTCCAGCTACGTAAGAAAATACTAACTCCTAGGAGCAATGTTATACATAGCTATACACTCTGAAATTATTTAGCTTAATGATATGATATAGCATTCTACTCTATATGATTAGCTTTACCATGAACCATGTTACTACGGGGTTGATTAATATATCATAGTTTTAAAGTCCCGAGTTAGCGTTATGTATAACTATCGTTAGTCTGTCAATATTAGGATAATGTACATTTTGATTATTACACTTGCTTGGGCAAGAAACTGGATGAATACTGGATGGATAAAGTAGAAATCAGAGGAAGAATATCACCATGGTGTAGCAGAACATGCCCGTACTGACCACGGGGTTAATCTGCTTGAAAAAGACCGAGTCAAGTTCTTCAATCAGTGACAGGACTTGAATTTGTCAGCAAATATGATTTTGATAAATTCATTTGGAACTAATTGGGACACTGCTCTGTTATATTATAGATGTTGAGAACCCATTTCATAAACAGTGGTAAACCTGTGTTTGTTATAATCATAGGGTATTGCTGTGAATGCATGTGGATGCCGTAAAGTATCTTGCAGCTAGTAATAATTATTGTATTTTATAATCTGATTGATTCATTTCATTTTGAAGAATGTCTATGCATATTTGTTTAGATTTGTTAGTGAGGTGGTTCACATATCAAACTAAACCATACTGTTCTTTGCTTTTAACGTAGATGTTGTGTGTAGTCAGTCATTATGGCTTCAAATTCATAGCTTGGTATGATTATATGCATAATTGTTCAAGTTATTTAAAAATTCTTATTTCTTGAATAGTTTATTTTCCAGATTCAAATCCAATTATAGTATCTTACTTTTTCATTTCTTTTTTCTCTTCATAATTTTAAACAACAGTTGGAACAAATGGAACTTGAAGTGCGTGAAATCCCTCCACAGAGCCGAGCCATGTACAGCAGTAGAATGAAGAGCTACAAGCAAGAAATGGAAAAACTTGATACAGATTTTGTGAGTTAATTCATCTATGGAATTTTGAGAGAGGATTCATGAAGTATTTATTTTAGTAAACTTCACTTATAGCATTATCATTCTTCACTCTAATTAACATTTTATTGCTTCAGGTATGATAGAAAGACTAAAATAATAACTAAATTAATTAAATTATTTATTTAATTTTATTGTAGATCCATTTTTGCCTAGGATCAGAAGTTTCCTTATAGAAATATACATACAATCCTATGATTTTTTTTACATAACATGTTCATATACACTATTATTAATAACAGGTATATAGATTACAGAAATACTGAGCAATGTAAGCCAATTATCCACTTTTCTATTTTTATTATTTTATGAAAATTATTATTATTTAGGAACATAAGTGAACTTTGCTTGTATATTAGTCTCTTCCCTGGGTTTTGCTTGATTCTTTTTAATACAATACTTAGAACTATTATTCTTAATGGTATAATCAAGTATAACTTTCAAGAATATATTTAATAAAAAATAAAAATCTAAGAATCTTATTTATTAGATAATGGAGATTATTTTTATTTAAATTAACACTTCATATTTCATAGCCTATAGAATTAAATAAAAGCTCTTTCATCAAGCATTCAGTAATTTTATTTAAGCAAACATTTGTCTACTTGGCTGGTGGAAATCAATCAGTTTCCATCAGCCAAGCTTTCAGTTAAGCTTCCTATTTCTCAAACTGCGCTAACGAAGAAACTGATATAACATTGAGATTGAAAAATGGCAAGGGATATTATCCACTTCTACATTTAGGAGAGTGAAAAAACAGTGTTTTATGGGCTATCCATTTCAAGATGCATTTCAGGAGAATTCATTTGTCAGTTGCAAATGTAATTTTAGTCATATAGCCAATACCAAAGTCTTAGGTCTAAGCAAAATATAATTTTAAATAGTGCAAGTAATCATTTGAGTTACAAGCAGTTATTCTGGATTTCTCTAATAATCTGAAACTTAAGTTGTGAATAACTGTAGATATTTTTGTTATCCAAAAATATAAACAAAAATCTAAGGTTGGATTACAGAAATATGATTGTGACTTGCAATATGAATCATGAATGTGGTACAGTAAATGAAGGCAGCCACAATGATATAGATATATATATATATATAAAAGGCTATACAGTATTTGTGACATCGTAATTTATAAAAAAGAAAAAAGAAGAAGAAAGAGCAAACAACATTTTGATGGTGTTCAGAAAGTGAATAGTAATTAATGCAGAGTTGTTTTTGTAATGTTAGAGCTCTGAGTCATTTGAGCAAGCCAGACAAAGATATTTCACTTAGATTAAAGAAAGGGCTGCTTTATACTATGTGCGCCTCTAAAATTACTACTGTATTGTTTACTTATCACCAATGGATGTGATTTTAGATGTCACTACAGAGGACAAAAATACCAATAGCTACTACAGAATGATATTGATTTTTGCTTGGGCATACAAATAGAGAAGGATGCAATCAGACTCATGGACTGTTTAAGGACTTCCTATTGTCAACAATGTAGACCTTGGCATAATCTGGCATGGTTGTTTTTATGTTTTTAATTTTGAATATTATCCTGTCTTTTATTTTAGAAATTATTTTAGTCATTTCTATTATAGCCCAGATAAAAAAATTAATCAGATTCAAGAGAGCTTTGATTGCCATAGTTTGTAATTTATCAATGTCTCGTTTGCACAGGTAAAAGGATTACATATTCTAATATTTTTCTTAATTCAGATCTTCTGCCACTGTGCTTGGTTAAAATTTCCTCCTAGGAGAGATAAATTTTGTTATCTATTACTTTTTTTGTGCACTTACATAGTGCCAGTTACATAGAACAATGTAACATTTTTTTCTGTCTTAATTTATGATTCACTTTGTTCAAAATGTGGTTAAATATCTATGCCAACAGTCTTGACCAATTATTGTCACATAGTTTAATATGGTATAGTATGTCTCATACCTTTTTTTTAGATTTGCCATGGATTCCAGGCTTCTACTGCAACACTAGCAAGATGGGAAGGTTACAATAATCATTTTAAACAAGTCACTTATTTGAGATGATTACCATATTTTTGAAGTATAAGACGCACCGGAATATAAGACGCACCAAGGTTTTGAAGAGGCAAATTAAAAAAAAAGTTTTTGCACTCTGCAAACCTCCCCAAAATGGTCCATTTTTCGAAAGGGCATGGATAGCCTTATGGGGGCTTATAGAATGCTCCTGGAGGCTGGGGGTGGGGTGCAAAATTGAGCAAAAATTGGCCCATTTTCTGCTCATTTCTGCCCTCCCCATCCCCCAGGAACTCTCTGAAAGCCTCCTACAAGCTATGCATGGCAATTTTGGTGAAGGGGGCGTGTTTCAGCAGGCAAAAAATGTTGTATTCAGTGTATGAGACGCACCTAGATTTTCAGCCTCATTTTTGAGGGAAAAAGGTGCATCTTATACTCCGAAAAATACGGTACATAAAATCAAATTGGAAAACAATAAGTTTGTCCGATTTATATGCATTCTATACTAATCATTTGAATTATAAAATCAAAAATGGTCCTCAGTAAGAAAGCATAGGTGATCTCTAAATGTACTTACAAGAGACATAATACAGCTTAATAGCCATGTTAATTTTACAAAACAAAACAAGCACGAAAGAGAATACATAGGTCCTTGACATACGAACACAATTGAGCCCAAAATTTCCATTGCTAAGCAAGATGAGTGTTAAGTACACCATTTTATGATCTTACTTGTTTTATTTGACTTATTTACTTGACATACTTACTTATTATTGAATGAATAACTGCAGTTATTTGGTTAGTAACATGATTGTTAAGGGAATCTGGCTTTCCCATTGACTTTGCTTGTGAGAAAGTGGCAAAAAATGATCACATGCCTGCAACTGTCATAAATATGTGCCAGCTGCCAAGCTGCAACTGTCATGTGAAAAACAGTTGTAAGTCATTTTTTTCAGTGCCTTTGTAACTTCAAATGGTCACTAACAAAATGCTGTAAGTGGAAGATTATCTATATTTGTCTAGAAGTATGTTTAAAACCCGGTATGTAAGTTTTATTGTAAAAATTCTTAGATTCTATGTTGAAGGAACAATAAAAGCAGAGTTTTATTGATACTATTTTGCTTCATCTTTTTAGACTTTTAAGAAGTTTGTTAACAAGTTGATACTGACAGGATTGTTTTACTGAAGGTATTAAGCAACTTGTGAGTGAAGTTTATTGTTAAGCACATTTTTAAAGTGTCAAGTTTTAAACAGCAGGAAAAGTTAACAAATTTTCTGTATATAGTTAGCTCTATCTTGTGGTCAAACATGGAGTTGCAGTATGTGATTATGTTGGCAGAAAAAAATTATCTAAATAATCTTAAAAGCAATATTAAGAGCCAGGAATTACTCTGGTAAGAGCATTCTTTTCTTTTCTTCACCTGCCCTTTCCCCCAAAATCCTGAATTTCTGATTTTTAGAAGCTAGACATTTTAAGAAGCAGTAACACACACACACACACACACACACATACACACACACACACTTTTGACTAATTGCAATGGTTTGTCAAGTTTTCTATGTGTAACTCTACACTTTAATTCTTTATTGCTCTCTACCAATAGTCTACAGTTTTGTAGCCAAGATTTGTAGTCCTAGATAACGTGTAGTTAGTGTATTTGTTTGTAAAAAATATATATTTTATTTTAGAGCTATAAAACTAGACCTGCAAAAATGACTCACCTGTTACTGTAATCAATGTCCACACACACACAAACACACACACACAAACACACACACACACACTTTTGACTAATTGCAATGGTTTGTCAAGTTTTCTATGTGTAACTCTACACTTTAATTCTTTATTGCTATTTACCAATAGTCTACATTTTTGTAGCCAAGATTTATAATCCTAGATAATGTGTAGTTAGTGTATTTGTTTGTAAAAAAATATATTTTATTTTAGAGCTATAAAACTAGACCTGCAAAAATGACTCACCTGTTACTGTAATCAATGTCCTACCTATTCCTAAGGTATAGGCAATATAAATTTTGCATTTAGTAGCCATATTGAAATTATAAGCCTGTAACCCAGGCCATATATGTCAGAATACCTGTGTAGCAAAGAATTAGGGAAATGGAGACTAAAACATATGAAGAACGGTTGCAAGAATGTGGTATGTTTAATCTAGTGAAAAGGACTAGGGCAGACATGATAGCAGTGTTTTAATATTTGAGGGGCTGCCACAAAAAAGAGGGTGTCGATGTATTTTTCAAAGTAGAAATCAAACCAGAAACAATGGATGGAAACTAAACAAGGAAAGAAACAATCAAAAACTAAGGATAAATTTCCTAAGGATGAGAACAATTACTGTAACTAGTAGAATGGCTTACCTTCAGAAATTATGAGTGTCTCAATACTGGAGGCTTTAAGAAGAGACTGGACAGCTATTTGTCTGAAATGGTATAGGGTCTCATTCTCTACAGAGGGTTGGACTAGAAAACCCCCAAGGTCCTTCCAACTTTGTTATTCTATGTTCATAGCCTGTCCTGCAAATAGAGAGCGTGCTTTGCTGCAAAATTAAGTCTACTTTTTAAATTCTAAAAAAGTAATTGATGGTACAATGTTCTGCTGAAATGCTCTGGTATACTATAGACTTTTAGTTTTTAAAAAAGGAAATCAAAGTATATTGAAAGGTTTTGGTGAAAGAGGAATTGAAATCAATTTATAGTTATTGGTATTACCATTGCTGCTCTTTGTATAACTTTTTATATAGATTCATTTCACATACAAAGGAAAGAAAAGCTGAGATGGCTAAAGCAAAGCCATTTTTGAAGAAGCCTCATTCAACCACTGATATACATGTATAGTTTGGGTGCCTCATTGGACATGATATTTTAGGGTCTGGAATTAGTGTATGAACTAAACTGCTCTTCATTTTTGTGATATGGCATAATTACAATGGAAAAAGTTCTTTATTCTGGCTTGAGAACAGAAA